GTTTTTTGCGCTTTATGATTTTTAAAATAATCGTTAGTTGCAGCCCTAGTTGAAGCCTTGAAATAGGATTCCAAACAAGCCTAGACATTGCTGGGTTATATAAAGGGGAGCAGGGAAGAGTGAAACACACAGCTCAGAGTGGATGAATGCGCGCAGCTCCAAGCTGAATAATAACAACGGTTCGATATTTTGTAATTTTGGACACTGATTTTGCTTTATTAGAATGCCCAAGGCTGGAAAAACAACAAAAAAATACAGCTAAGAAAAGGTTACTTGGGCTTATTGTAGCTTGAAAAGCAGCAGTTTCACTCTTTTTTTTAATAGATTCTTATGTTATTTTTAGGTTTATAAATGTTACATTTTGTTATATACACTCATTCTGAAAAAAAGGGTAAAATACTTGCTTCATAAATGTTTCGTGGCCATCAGAATGCTTCAGTGTTATTCTATTGGTCAAATAAATGAATAAAAGCATTTGGCGCAATTTGGAACATTTGGAGAGATTTGGAGAGAAGTATAAAGCCTCACAGTTCTGGAACTGTTGTAGCGAGAGGTCTGACATTTTCTGCATTTGTGGTTGACATGATGTAGACAAAATTTAATGCAATGAGACCTGCCTTTTCTCAAGCATGTCTTTATTACTGCTGTTCAAAAATGATCAATTATTTTCAAGAAGAAAAAAAACCCAACTTTGAGTGTTATACTCACTATTTCCATTTATATTTACAGAAACTAGAAGCTTTCAAATGATGCATCACGCATGTCATTTGGTCTTACAGTTCCTCAGTTATTTGCTTTTTTATTTGAATATGCAAAATAGGTGAGGATTACTTCAAAATGAGGTGGATGTTAAGAGCATGAAATTCATGTTAATAATTCAGAAAAGGTAAAACTTCTACCAAACACAAAACATGAATACAGTTTAAAATAACTAACCTAAATTGGAATTTAGAAAAACAATGAAAGTGGTTGTTTGCTCTGATGGTTTAATGAATATGAATTAATTCATGGTCTGTGTCTGCAGGGGGAGCATGAGTGGCCTCTTCACGTGGCTCGTCTTTATCAGAGCGCCTACCACTTCCGCTCTGCTGTCGCTGTAAGCAACAGATTATTTCTTTTTTCATATGACAAAAGTCAACACAAACAGCATCAAGAGTTTAAGTAAATTAAGATAATTAAAGTTAAGCTAAATTTGATATTAGCATTTTTCTATTGGAAACTGAACAAATGATGACAAATATTATTATTATTATTATTATTATTATTAAAATATAAACACAATATAACATGAAATGACAGATATTTAATAAGAAAATTACTACATAGCACAAAAATGACCAAAACATTGTTTGTTTCTCCAGGGTCAAGCAGACTGCAGTACTGACCCTCACTACGCGGGGGCGCTCTTCACAGATTATTACTTTCTTTTCTACAGACGCTGCAGAGATTCATAATAGACATGAGCTCACAAATAAAAAAAACAGTTTCATTTTGCAGATCCCTACTTTCACAGACAAAGGTTGCGTTTCCATTAACCGTCAAATTGCTCAAATTGAATCATGCAAAATAAAATTAGCAAATGGAAACGCTACAGTTTCTAAAGCATTCATGTTTTTCAATGATATTTCGATGAGGTGGTTTTTTCCATCACATCCAAATTATTATATTTTTCCGAAACTGCAATGGAAACACTTTTTTTCACATCACACGAGTGAAGTGATCTGCAACTGGACCTTACTGCCTTATAAAGACGAAGGAGAACGGACATAGTTGGAGGATGATGGCGCCCTCTAGAGGCCTGGCTGAAATACGAATAGATCTACATCCGCCGCTGCCATGTTATCAGTTATCACGTGAACAAACAGGTTCACGTGCAATTTTACTTGTATATCTCAACTAATGTAAACACCACAACTACAAAATTAGCATATTTTTTAAATTTGCAGAATATCGACATTGTTTTGCAAACATTTGTAATAGAAATACAACTAAAGAAGTTTTACAACTTTTTTTGTTTTCAAAAATTGCAAATGCATTGTATAGAAAAAGGAAAAAAATTCTAAAAGCCACCAGTATCCAAGGTTTCTTAGATAACACAACTTGTCCCCATGTTTTGTACAAGCTTGTGGCTTTGTTGATCCTGCACAAAGAAATCTATCTTGTCTGCAGCTCAGAGATTTGAAAAACAAAATCTTCTGTATGTATTTTCTTTTTAATAGTTTTTTTCCATGAAGCACTGGAAAGCTTCAGCCTTTTTTACATAACAATTGAGTTTGTACAGATATAAACGGATATAAACCTGAGGGTTATTAGACATGGCTGGTCAGCAGGTTACGTTTCTTATGGCTAAAACAAATTAAAATATATTTTAACGTGGCTACAATTGGGTAGTTGGATTTTTTGCTGTTGTTGTGAAGTCAACAAAAATAAACTTGTGCTTCAAAAATAAACCTCTAGAAAATAATTATTTTAACGAAGCAACAAATATCTGAAATCAAAGTCGAAGTAAACAAGAAGCATTTATGGACATTATTAAAAGCAAAAATCTCACAGCCAGAGATTAACCTCTAAGCGCTGAATGACCCAAACATTGTCAGCTTTTTCAGATTGTAATTTAAACCTGGGGTTGTTGTGGCTTTTTGCCAGCTCAGGCGTGTGTTGCCATATTTGTACAGTATGTGTTCAATGTTTTGTTTCTGGAAGCCTCCTGATTTAAATAAGTTATCATGAACCATATTTTTTCGAACATATGAGAAAAGACTTGTAGCTCCTTGGGAACTACAGTTATCCAAACTAGAATCTCAAATGTGCCATTTTGCTTTGTTATTGCTGTTCTGTTTGAAGAAAATTGTTTAAAAAAAAAAAAACTTTTTTTATCCATCCTTTAAAATCAGAATCTTCTTGTTCAGTTTAATTCTTATGCTAAATAGCTTTAACAGCAAATTTTAAAACAGATTAATAAATTGTTATAGCAATTAACAAGTTCACACAAAATATTGAGTTTTATGTAAACTGGATTTAAAATGTGTGTTATTGGTTCCAACTAAAAAATATGTTTACCTAAAAGAACGACAAAGGGATGCTATGTGAGTTATTTATGAATGTAACACTGTTTAACTTAATCTTTTCTATCAGAAGAACTGAGTGAATCTGACTGCTTTAATAAAATGTTCTTGCATGGTTGTATTATTTGTTTGTTTTTATCATTTTTTTCTTTCCCAGCCTTTCTGCATTGAGTTTGCATGTTCTCCCTGAACATGCGTGGGTTCTCTCTGGGTACTCTGGCTTCCTTCCATAGTCAAAAAACATGGCTTTTAGGTTAATTGGCTTATCCAAATCCTCCTTAGGTGTGAGTGTGTGCCTGAATGGTTGTTTGTCTCTGTGTTGTCCTGTGATGGACTGGCGACCTGTCCAGGGTGGACCCGGCCTCTCACCTGTAGACAGCTGGAGAAAAGCACCAGCATTCCTCGCGACACCAGCAGGGATAAAGCGTGATGAAATGGATGTATGGATGAATGTTCTCCATTAATGATGGCAGTGATGGGCTTTCATCTATGTCCATAAGTCAAAGAGCCAGACCAAAGGCTGGTTTATGCTCAGAAACCAGGTCTGCGTGTGTCACAGTGAAAGCAAATGTGATCCCGCTCCTTCTGCAGACACTCTGCTGCACCTCTCCAATATTGTAGATGACCGCAGACAGGAGGCCTCTGATTGGTCAAATCTACATCTTCTCTACACTATGCATATTTCCTGTTTGTTACTTTATCGGCTTGTTTTGTTTGTATGTCCGCCATTGTGGAAAATGACACGTGAAGATGGACCATTTAGAAGAGCGAGGAGCGTGAGAACGCTGGGACCTTTTTTCCACCTGGGATAAAGTGTGACGGAAAAATGGATGGATGGATGTTAATAGTGTCAATATCTAAATTTACACTTAATAAACATACACATTTGCTTTCAAAATAAATTATTTCAAAATGTCACTCGTCAATTCAGTGCAGCGTGAATGCCAAATCTAATCTTTACTCGTCATTTCTGTAACGCAAGTTATCGTGGGACATCTATAATTGGAAGTGGAACACTATTTTTTGCAGCAAAAACACAGTAGTAAACATGCAAAAAAAGTATTTATAACTTTCTCCAAATCTTAAATAAGATGAAACTACATGTGATTTTGCAAACAAAAAAAAGTAAACCATTTATTTTAAATTCTGGAGGTAGCGCACACATTATGGATGCCTTGGGCAGAATTCAAATAAACTATTTTAATCTAGATTACATTAAATTACAAGATAATAGTGAGATTAATCTAGATTTTTTTTTTTATAATCTATACCCACTGCTATTTGTGAGGTTCTTTTTATCAAAAAGAATCTTTTTGATTCAACTGCTGATGGTTTTCTAAGTAGGAGTTCTGAACTGAATGCAAATGTTCGCTTAGCATGACTGAACGACCCATGCTGTCTGTTACACTCTGCTTAATTCCTCTTACTATTTGTTTGAAGATTTAGGCTGGATGGATCCAGTTAAAATTACAATTTCTGTACCTGAATTGGGTCAGAAAAAAGGTTTAAAAAAAGCTTTTATGTTGACTATAAAATGTGCTCTGCAGTGTTCACAGGGAAAATATGGATGATGATCTGGTTAAAGTAAACTGAGGCTAAACTTGAAGCTGTGTGGTTCAACAGGGGATGTGACCCCAAAAGAATAACGCAACAGACTGACTACTGCCTAACAATACATAGAATTAAATTTCTCTATAGTAATTATAATCAGGGAAATGGCGGCCTAGGGGTTAGGGCATTGCACTTGGGGTCCAGAGGTTCTGTGTTCAAACCCCACTCCCACAGACTGCCACTCTGGCTCACTGAGAAAAAACCCTTAACCCCACACAATGGCAGCCCTCTGCTCCCCAAGGTGATGGGACAAATGAGGAGAGTTAGGGGATTGTTGGCCTAGTGGTTAGAGCAGTGTGCTTGTGCTCTGAGAAGGTTGCAAGTACCCGGTTTGATTCCCAGAACCTCCGATTATATATTTAAATCAAATTTTTAAATTTAATGGGATACTTAATTCATTTGGGCTGAACAGTGGTTCAGTTTGTAGCACTGTTGCCGTGCAGCAAGAAGGTTCTGGGTTCGATTCTTGGAGTATTTCTGCATGGAGTTTGCATTGTTTCTCTCCTGGAACTCTGGCCTCCTCCCACAGTCCAAAAGCACGACTTGTTAATTGGCTTCTTCAAATTGTCCTTAGATGTAAGTGTGTGTGTGGTTGTGTGTCTCTGTGTTGCCCGGTGACAGACCCCGCCTCTCACGGACGGACACCGACCCCACCGTGACCCTGATGGAATAAGTAGGAGAAGATGGATAGATGGATTTAATTAATTTTGTTTAATTGTGCATCTTAAAATTTCATGGTATCTTATATTTAAACCATTGGATAAAAAAAAAAGCTACATCTGCTAATTTCATGGTCCGTTTATTTAATCCATGGAACAATATATTTAGGTATCTCTGGTTATAATTTGGCTTTCCATACACCTTGGAGTTAATATCATAAAAATTATTAAAATCATCTTGCGACCTTGGGGGTCACAAACCCCACTTTTGGAAACTGTGTTACAAAATAATTATGTCTTTTTTTAATGAAAATAAGATGTCATGCTCACACATTTTAGATAATATCAATTTACAATGTGTTTTTCTGGAAATGTATTTTGGATTTCTCTGAATAAAGTGTTTAGTAGTTTTTCTTAATGTAATTGTGTCATCTAGTCCAGCTGAATGCTCACTAACAGCCTGATGACTAATTCAGGTGGAGGAGGACCGCTGCAAAGTCACAAACCTAATTAAGTCTGAGAAGGAAACAGCTCAGCTAGAAAGGTTTAGTTGCAGGACAGAACCATCATGAGGACTGAGATGCTCCCTGTAAGTACCTGCAGTAATTTAAAAAGAATCATGATCGTATTTTATTTTATAGACATTCAATTCATCATAATGATTCTTTTGTTTCCTACAGCTTGCTATGTTAGATTAAAACTTGGTGGATGTGGAGAAATCTCTTGATTGATAGCTAAACTTTATGATTTAATGTTCATTTCAGATTCCTGACAAACATACAGATTAATTTCTTGCGAAAACATTTCTTCTACAATTTGTTCTTTGAGGTTAAATTACAGCACCTTGTACAAAAACTTAATAACTAATAGAAAATAAATTAAATGAATGTAGGTGTGAAGTTTCTCTTAAATAATCACAACCAATGAAAAGAAGTTATAGTTGAAACTTTATGTACAGTTTGCTGTTTTTTTTTTTCTTTTTTAATGTTATTTCTGTCTGCCTTGCCTTATAGTATGGTGATTTTTATTTTAACCTTTAATGTTGCATCAGATGAAGTGGTTGCACTGATGCACCGTTAAAGGTGTCTGATCACTACATGGTAATAATTCTGTCACAAA